AAGATTCTTAAAAAAAATTAAAAAGTATTTAAGTGCTTCCAGTCTCTAGCTAAGAGTCACAACAACAGGCTTTCAAAGGTCAGCCAGACAGCAAACTTGAAAGTACAGAGATAGTATACTCCACAGTTCAGAGAAGTTCCTTCACTTGTATTAGCCTGGACGAACAGCCTCTGCAGTTGAAAACCTACTCACCCGTGTGGGTGACATGTTTGATCCTGGAACAAATGCCTGACCTCCCTCATCAGCTTTCTTATCCATGCAATGGGTCCAAAAATACAAAATACCACACAGGGTTGCTGTAAATAAGACAGGGTATATCAAGAATTAGCACAAACCCTGATGCATGATGGACCCTCAGTTACAGTCAATAGGAGAGGTAAGAGCGCTAGTGTTAATAGAGAAAAAAAGCTGCAAAATGATGAAGTGCTGTAACATGGAATAATATACTGTATAGTAACTATAATGTCTTCTACCTGCTTATTACAGTTTATGTTTAGATGTCCCCCCTAAAGGTTCATGTGGTCACAGGCGAGGCTTTTCAGAGGTAGCTGGATATGCAGTAAGCATGGGACTGATGCAGGTACAATGCTGCGTTTAAAGGCACCAGGACTGGGAGTAAGTGCTACCTTCCCAGAGATCCAGTAGCCTAGATCAGATATAAGGGGCAGAAAGAGGCTTGTCACTGCTAAGACACTGCTCAAAGTGTACTTGTCAAGTAAATATTTGAGGGTGGGAGAAGGAGGGAGGGAATGAAACAGCCACATCTCAGTCAGTCTAGATGGAATTCTACTATCACTTTTCTTTTTATCAAAATACAAACTAAGGCATGAAGTGTCTAGTCATTTAAATACCAACCTGTAATAAACTGCTGAAGACATTCATAGACAGCTACATCTAAGTTAACTGCATGAACTCAGTTTCTAAAATTCTTTAATATAATCAGGTTCAACTCCATCTAGTAACATCAGTATAGTTCTGTTATTTTATGAAAAACTACTCTAAGGACCCCTAGCTTCAACATATACAAATAAAAAACATATACAAATATTATATCAATAGTAAACATATGCTGATAATTAACAGTAAATGTATACCATTCTGAGGAATGAAATAAGATTATAGTAA